CGCCAAAAAAAAAAAAAAAAATGCTGATACAGAAATCTGATGATGTCTCTGGCAAACCTCTACACCCCAAAGTAGAAGAGAAGCCACCAAATAAGTAAGTTTTAACGAAAGGTTAGTTGCGTATCCTTTACATGACGTTGCAGAACCAGCCCCAGCATATTTTGGCTGTTGGTTTCCTAAATTGTACGTTCAGTAGTTTGCCAGTGCCACTCAACGGTCAGCTCTCGGTGCCACTGTCGAAACCAACGCAAGACAAAGTGTCCGTAGGAGGAATCGAACCCGGCACCCCCGCATTACGAAGCGCTTTCGCAACTCCTTAGCTACAGACGCCGAGATTTAAAATAACATAATGACAACACCATAAACAGATACAAAAGAATACTCAAGATTTCTTTAAAAAGCATTACTAGTGAGGGGAAAAAAAAAACTGATTTTACATTGTCTTGTCATTTCGTCGGTTTTAGATGTTAAATGGACTGCCCGTGAATGACCATGGGAGTGATCACCTACAATGTTCAGTCTTGATTTCTAAACCCAGTAAGGTTAAGGTTGGGAGAGCAGGCGACCTTCCGGTATAAGTGGACCAAAAACCTACTTGGACGCCTCAGACAGGGAGCATGCAACAGAACTGCCAGAACTAATTTTCTGCAGCCCCAATGGTGGACTCCAGAAGTAAAACAGGCATGGAAGGCAAAGAGAGCCACAGTGAAGCAGCTAAAGAAACTACGACAGAAACCCTCAAGCTCACGAGAGAAAGTGGAGATGGCGGAGAATGTGAAAAAAGATGTGGTGGATGTTTTCAAGCGCTGTGCTGCAGAGGCCGAAAGAGCAAAATGGGAAAATGTTGTGAATGATATGGGAGGCGATAAAACATTGGGGAAATTCTGGAAACTGCAAAGGCAGATGCAGAGAAAAGATCGGCCTATGACAGTCGGAACAATTTGTAGAGACGATGGAGTGCGTATGACAACAGACAAGGAGAAAAGGGGAGGCTTTTCTCCATAGGTTTATAGCTCAGACAGATCATAATGATGTAGACATCAGGGATGCAGTTAGAAAGGAGTTAGCTGGTACCTTAAAGAATATGCATTATGAAGACATTATACAAGTGAAAGATATCCCCCCAAAAATTTTGAAAAAAAGCAAAAGACACTGCACCAGGGCCTGATGGAGTCAGGTATGATCACATGAAGGCTTTGAGCGATGTAGACCTGGCAGAGATGGCCGACTGTTTTAACCAGAGCATTAAGACAGCATCAGTACTGCACGACTGGGTGCACAGCTATTTCATCCCACTACCAAAACCTTTTTAAGATCATTCTAAGCTCAGTGGCTTTAGATCATCACCTCAACATACGGCATATCAGGCGACTGAGCGTGCCCTGGCTCGGCTGCCGATCGTCTATGAACTTCGACGCCTAGCGGCATAAGCAGATATTGACAACAGAAGAAGAAACAAAGAAAAAATATGTCTTTAGCGTCATTCCCTGTGGTTGTGTGTGTGTGTGTGTGTGTGTGTGTGTGTGTGTGTGTGTGTGTGTGTGTGTGTGTGTGTGTGAGTGCGTGTGCGTATGTATCTGTGTAGGTTGCGTTGTGGCACTTGAGTTATTTTTTGTTGTCAATGAACCCTTGTCGCAGCAAATGTATTCTGTTCAAACGACATGTACTTATGTCTCCCAATCTGTTTTGCACCTATTAGAGCCCGCAATAACACAGTACGGCAATGCGATGTATTAAGCTAGCAAATCTGCCTTATCTGTTATTCCACTGGGTTGTACTGATCTATGCTGTCAAAGCCTATATTCATATGCCGTGCTGGCGTCAAAAGCTTAGCTGTCTGCATATCTGATTGCCTTATTTCTAACAATGCTGAGGCAGTTCTTATAATGTTCTCTGAATGCGTTATTTTGATAGGGAAATCATGCATCATTTGGAGTTTGCTCAGTGGAGCCGAGATCTGCGAGGTTATTCCACATAAGAGTTCTCACTACACTCCTAAGATACAAGACGTTGCAGAACCAACCCAAGAATATTTTAGCAGTTGTAGTTTTTCTAGGCAAATTTTACTTTCAGTAGTTCGCCACAGCCCCTGAACGGTGAGCTCTCGGTACCACTGTCGAAACCAAATCAAGACAAACCGTCTGCAGCTGGGATCGAACTCGGCACCCCTGCATTACAAGGCGCGTTGGCTACGCCAAAGCCACAGACGCCGACTGCTGAAATAAATAATTTTATAAACACACACACACACACACACACACACACATACACACACACAAACTGGGGACTGATGTCTCCAAACATAATTCCCCTGTATTTAGAATCCTAAGTAGTTGTAAGTGTAGGACCTCAGTTAGTGACATGTGTAGTATTAACCATTTAGCTGCATTTGTACTACTCCATATAGTTACACGGGGATCCCATCATCACTAGAGCTACCGAGTTCGTGCTTTATGCTACGCTCTAGTGGGTGGCTAGCTGTTTTACTCAGAGAGACCAGGCTATATGGAATGATAGGTGCAATGAAGTCGAACCTCTGATCTATAACGTCACCTACAAAACAGTGTAAGATCCTTTGTAAGTTGCAAATGTAGGATCCCATGTCGGTTTTCTTCCATACCGGCGCCCTACTGAAAGGGATATTTTCAAAAGCAGCATTACTCTGGGCCGATCCAGCCATAAAATTGATAACATAACATGACTATTATTTGTTTGCTCCCTTAAACAAGGATCAAGTATCTTGGGTTCTTAGAAGATTATTAATGGGTGTCCCTTCCTCCTCCTCCTCCCCCCCCCCTTCCCCCCTCCTCCCCCCCCCCCGCGTTTTTTCCGATGTTTTCTTGTGTCGACACGTCCGACAAAACAGATAGTATTATGAGCTGAACCGATCCGATATCAATGTAAGATGAGACGCCTGGCACAGGCTGTTTGTAATAAGCTTCAGAAGTAAAGAAATGAAAGCAATAAAGACACAACTACAAACTTAAAGATAAATAAACAAACTAAGATGGTTTGCATTCAGTCTGATCCCAGAGCAGTCATCAGTAAACCAGATCTGACAAATGCCCAGAGTAAATTTAGAGAAAGCCAGAACTAGAGAGACAACTACGTCGTTTAATGGGTTTTTTATGTTCTGCCTCGCTGTGACTAAGAACTGAATTAGTGTGGGCTCATGATGTGCCACCTTGGAGGAGACAGTGCAAACGTATATACACATTAAGGAAGATCAACATATGACAGTTAAATAATGAAGTCTTAATTGAGACAACTGCCTACATCATTGCGTAAAAGTGGGGCACTTTTCTGTGTGTATGGCGGTACACAGTACAGTCACCTTTTTTAACGTACTGTAATAGACACTGGGAGGTGAGAACATGTCATTGGGCTGGGGGGAGGGTGCTGGAAGAGGGGGGGGGGGTACTTTATGGTGAGAACCTGTCATGGGGGGGGGGGGCACTTTAGGGTGAGTACTGTCATATTTTTTTCTCTATATAAAAAGCACTTTTGAGACGAATGTCCATTTTATCCTTTCTGTGCGACAATGACCCCTTTATGGAGCGTTTCATCAATCAGTGTCCTCACCATAGTGAAGTTTGGCTGAAATTTTTCTCCTATACATACAGCTGTTCATCATCATTTGAAATTATCCTCCCAACTGTATTGTTGTTTACCTCTTGCTTTATTGACTTCAACCTCTCTCTCCGGTATGGTTTTATAAGTGTGTGAGTTTTTTAAATACATTTATTGAGTCGTTAATTGGTCAGTTTACATTTGTTGACGTGTGTAGTTTGTATTGTTTGTGTTACATGCACCTGTTACCGTGTGTTTGTGTTGGTGATACTGCGTACATGTCTTTACAGTTACAAAATATGACAAATCAAATTCATAACATTCTATACATTTTGTGCACTACTAATATAATAAAGGATGATATTTATGAATCTGTGGTGACGACATAGTTTTTTTTGGTTTGACTTAAAATATTATTTGTAATGTCAAATCTGTCTGGAGCGGAAACAAGGAGAACAATTAAAACTAATCAACTGAGAAATTCATTAACTCGTTCTGTGGCTGTAGTTTGTTTAGTGAAAGTGTACATCCAATTTTTGTTTAGTGAAAGTGTACATCCAATTTTTGTTTAGTGAAAGTGTACATCCAATTTTTGTTTAGTGAAAGTGTACATCCAATTTTTGTTTAGTGAAAGTGTACATCCAATTTTTGTTTAGTGAAAGTGTACATTCAATTTTTGTTTAGTAAAAGTGTACATTCAATTTTTGTTTAGTGAAAGTGTACATCCAATTTTTGTTTAGTGAAAGTGTACATCCAATTTTTGTTTAGTGAAAGTGTACATCCAATTTTTGTTTAGTGAAAGTGTACATCCAATTTTTGTTTAGTGAAAGTGTACATTCAATTTTTGTTTAGTGAAAGTGTACATCCAATTTTTGTTTAGTGAAAGTGTACATTCAATTTTTGTTTAGTGAAAGTGTACATTCAATTTTTGTTTAGTGAAAGTGTACATTCAATTTTTGTTTAGTGAAAGTGTACATCCAATTTTTGTTTAGTGAAAGTGTACATTCAATTTTTGTTTAGTGAAAGTGTACATTCAATTTTTGTTTAGTGAAAGTGTACATTCAATTTTTGTTTAGTGAAAGTGTACATTCAATTTTTGTTTAGTGAAAGTGTTCATCCAATTTTTGTTTAGTGAAAGTGTACATTCAATTTTTGTTTAGTGAAAGTGTACATTCAATTTTGTACCGGACTTAACCTGGTACCCTCTCGAGTCTGGTGAATGTACCGTCCTTGGAAGTAAATGCGTCCGGCGTGATGTTGACCATATCACCCCCCCCCCTCCCCAAGTGCTAGTTGTTCTATAAAACATAGGTCTAGCCCTATATGGCCAATACACCAGAAAGCGTGGAAAAGGGTTCGTTACTTGACTTTAGCCTTGATAACGATCGTGATGGTAGTTACAATAAATGCCTGGTTTAACGAATCAATAGCTAATGACAGCCAGTTCTACGCGTCTTGTGTTTGCAGCCTTACACTCGGTTCTGTGTGTGACGTTCAAGCTGAGCCGACACACAGGGTACTTCCTCATCAACCTCTACCTGCCATGTTGCCTGCTGGTGGTCCTTTCCTGGGTCTCCTTCTGGATCAACAGAGAGGCCACCGCTGATAGGATAGCACTGGGTGGGTATTGTATTTCTACGTCAGTGGCTGTTGGAGTAACAGCGACATCATTAATAGGCATCAAACCAAACTAAAAAAAGAACCAGTCAATTTCACAATATCACACAGGACAAGTGAACGTTGCGGCTAAAGAGCCTTCGTCAGAACGCTGCGTAAATATTACAAGGACAAACAAGAATGCAAAAAAAATCACTTAACTGACCTATCTCTCATAGAAATCACAGTTCATTCTGTCAAGCAGAAGAGCTGACACACGTATGGAGATAACCTAAAGATAGAGGACTCCATAGAGAAGAAGTTAAACCGTTGTTTGCATCTAACTCTAATGGTCGTGGGCCCTTGCGTTCGCCAGTGAAGTGGTGGGCAGATCCACGAATGTCATTAATACAGCGAGAGTTTCGTCCCTTGTTGCGACAATCTAGTCTAACGACCAGCAGCTCTGCCAAGAGAAACCAAGATATGTGGGATATAATAAGTTACAGTGGGGTCCATCAACTTCCCAACCCCTGTTAATGCCTAGCTTGAGGCTTAGATGTTTCAAAGACCACTTCTAGCTGTAGCAGATCTTATATGAGTCATGGTATGAAGAGCTGAGACTTTTACAACACCGAGTATGTTGTTACTGTGCTCTCGTCTTCCGTGGTGGCTCAGATTCTTATCCTTCTCTGATACTAAATGTCTTTGCACTGGATATCAGAAGGGTATAGCATTAAAGGAAGCGGGGAGCGGAAGGGGGGGGGGGCGAAAAGGTAGCTAGAAAGTAAAGTTAAAAAGATAAGAAGGACATAGGAAGAGCTGCATGCGATGGCTTAGGATGGAATGAGTTGGCCTGAGTTGACTGGGGGCCTATGCTCCACCAGGGGTGTGTGAGAGGTGGAGGTAGAAAGGCAGAAGATAAAGAGAAACAGCATTGCAAACACTGACTGCATGGGGTTAAGCCTAAGTTAGGGAATTTTTCGCTTTCTGAAAAGATATCAAACCTACCGAAATGTAGAACTTGTCACCTACACGTTAGCACAATCACAAAAGACAAGCGAACGCTGCGGATTGAGAGCCTTCATCAGCAAATCACATGCATATACAATGTTACATTTACAAATAGGACTACACATTATCACTTGAAACTGGGATCTCTCCAAGAAAAATAGATGGGCAACATTTTTACATTGTCAACAGACTACCAATGCACAAATAGACAGTAGTATTGTTCATCTGCAGCCAACTGTCATTGTAGAAAGGGTGATTGACTGACGGGGTGATAAACTGATTTACTCACTAAATGACTGATTGGTTAATAGAATGCTAGCTTTATTAAAGGAGTTTTGATTGGTTGATTGAATAAATGATTGCTTGATTGTTTGAAGGATTAATCAGGCTATCATTCGATTGGCTGAGAGAATGTCTGATTGAATAACTGATTGCTTGCTTGCTTGGGTGATTTAATGATCTGTCGATGTTTGATGGATTGAATAACTGATTTCTTGCTTACTGAACAATTAAACAGGTGATTGACTAATGATTGTTTGACTGATCATTTGCGTGATTGAAAGACTGATTATTTGATTGCATGCCAGCTTTCTTGAATGATTCATTGATCAACTGACTGATCGACCGATTTATCGACTAACTAATTGAAATCATTTTCTGTATAATAATTGAGCAGTGCTTTGATACGCCAAAATCACAATATCAATCACTGTGCTCTTGAACAGGGTCTACCACTGTCCTCACGATGACCATTATTGGGATAGAGAACAAGAGTCAACTACCCAAAGTCTCCTACGTGACAGCCATGGATGTGTACGTAGCCCTGTGCTATGTATTTGTCATAGCAACCACGCTAGAGTTTGCTGTGGTCCATTATTTTACTAAGTATGGTACGGGCGAGCCTCTGCTGCTATCCAGTGATGATGAAAGCTCTTCAGATGAGGTAATTATTCCTTCTTCCTTTTTCTTCTTTTATTTCTTTATAAATTCCCCCAACCCTCAAATGTACTTTCTTCCTCTTCGTGGTCTTGGTCCAGAGCGGGTACGTTGTGTGCGTCGTGTGAGCCCGTATGTGTGACGAACACTTATGCACGAAAACATAATTGCTTTCAAAACAAAAATAGACCCACTTCCTATCCAAAAGCATGTAATAAGAGTCGACTAAATGGGAGCTTCCTTCGAAGTCGTACTGCATCTGCCTGAGAAGCAAGGAACCAGCAGTCTGCATACGAATGAGTCATATCTGTAAAACGAATGCACACGCAACACGATGCACACGCAACACTCACGTTCAGAAACAGGACTGCAGTTTAAAAGTGGATGAACAAACACAACTTTCAGCCCGAGTTTACAGCTGGTGAACGCAAAGAAGAAGAAGATAATTGCTTTCATTTTCCTCATTACTTATTACTTCTTCGCCCGGCTCTCTAGCTTAGTTGGCTAAACCGGATTGCGCGGAGACCGGGTGACGAACTTATTGTGGTCCGGGTTCAATCCCGGGGGTAGGCAGGAAAACCACATTTTCTCCCAGATTTACGGTATTTAATAAGAAGAAACTCCACAGGGGAGCATGTACAGCAGGGGTCTACCAATCGTCAGTAGAAGTAACCTCTCGTCGACAAATGTTTCGGCCCACGAGCTCCTAGACATTCTCAGAGAGTGGGCCCATCTGAGTTCATGAAGCTCAGGGTTGGTTTCCCCTGCTTTACGAATTACCTGATGTTGTTCGGATAGGGACAAGACGAACTGGTGATTTTGCAGAAGGTACTGTGAGATAAGAAGTCGCGGTAGCATAATTAATGCAGTCTGCATACCTGGACGACTGAGAGGCAAGCTTACGGTTGGTTTACCGGACACATGTTGGACTTTATTAGTAGGTGGCAGAGGGACACTGGCAGACAATTCGGACACGATGGACTTTGAGGGATAAGAAATTCTTTTCCGCTAGACACCTGGACCAGCTCACCGAGGCCCGTCCCCTACGTTGTTTCGTTGTGTCCAGAGCCAGCTCTAGGCCCTCTCAGCAACCTCGCCCAGCTGTTTAAGTGTCCGTTTGCGTTCATTACCAGGTAAGCCTAGTTCTTTAATCACATTGTAGAGTGAAGTGGAAACGAGACCTCTCGCTCCCACTTCGACGGCAAAGACTCGTTCTGTGTACGCTTCGTCTCTCCTCAGACCGGCTGCTAAGTCACAGTACTTCTCCAGCTTATACATATGGCTTTCGTCCATTCGCGACTCATACGGGACGGTCAGCTCAATCAGGGTGAGCTGTCGTTTCTCCGCAGAGTGGAGAACTATGCCAGGTCGCAGGCCGGTCTTCCAGATTGACTCAGGGTACCTTTCATGGCCAGGCAGGTCAACCGCCAGTAACCAGTCCCCCGCAGAGTCTAGCATAGTTGGAGCGTATGCGTCTTTGTTGATTCTACCTTTGTGAATCTGCCCAGCCTTGGGGAAACGTATGGGGACAGTGGTAGGACTAGCCCTCGCATTGACCCTCGTCCTAGCCTGATCCACAACAGCTGCCAACTCTTTTAGCACCTTGTTGTGGCGCCAGGTATATCTGCCTTGACCTAGGGCTTTTCTGCATGCGGACTGTACGTGTTCTAACGTCTGCTTCGCACTGCACAGCGGGCATGTCGGGACGTTAGCAGCAGACCACTTCACCATGTTGACACCGGACGGTAATACATCGTGCGCAGAACGAACGATAAAGCTCAGTTGCAGCGGGGTCATTCGCCAGATCTCACCCCATGTGAGTACTCTTGACAGTGCGCTCTCCAGGCTGACCCAATGGTCCTGCTGCGACTGTTGGGCTGCTTTCTGGACCCGAACCTCGTTTTCGTCCCTTACTTGCTGTATCAACATGTCTCGGCGCTCTTTGGCTGTGGCTTTGGACCACCAACTGACCTTCCCGTGACCTAGGCCTCGACGGTCGGTTTGAGTGTATCCCATTATTTTCTTCAATTTTTACAATGGAATCAAGGCCGAAAGGTTGCGATATCCATAATACCGAGCCTCAGGGTTAACAACTCATGGCTTCTGGATACTAAAACAAACAAACAAATAAACATTACTTCTTCAATATGTTTTTTTTTTTTAAATATCCTTGGTTTTCCTTTTTCTCCTCCTTTATGTTGTTGATTCAGAGCAGGTACAGTGATGTGTGTTCTTGATCCTGAGCAGATACGATGTGTGTATGTGTGTGCGTGCACGCGTTTGTGTGTATGTATGTGTGGAGGCATGCGAAAACATAATTGCTTACACTGTACTCATTTACAAACAGATTTCGGACGAAAACACCAGCCTTGAGTCTTTGGCGGTGGGGAACGGCAAGTTCAAGGTTCAAAAATACCCTTGGCCACCAAATGAAGCGAATGTCAAGGTTGGGGTCATGGCCAAATTATGTCACTGTCTCACAAGGTAATTCCTTTAACATATAAATTATTTTTCATGCACGTATGTGTTCATCATCATGTTGTTGTTGATACTTTGATGAATGTTACTCTATTCACATCACGCAGGAAAGCGATTCTGTCCTTTGCTAACTTTCCCCGCCTCTTGAAAGTGCGGCGCTTATATCCTGTATTAACTGTCAGATTGGGAGTCGTTGTGGCGTTGGTGGCTAGACTCCCTGCTGCCGATCGGAAGGTCGTAGGTTCACTTCCTGACGTAGCTGGACCTTTTTTTTTCAAAAATGACCTTGATTCCCAAGTGCAGATTGGTCTATAAAAATATTGGTCTAGCCCTATATTCCCAATACGCCTCAAGGCGGGGACAGGGGTCTTAGGTTTTTGATTGCCTCTCTTCTGGATACCACACCATCAATTACTGATCTTTTAGAACGATTGTGGAGTTTAATGCAAGGGTATTTCATTTATCGTTTTTTTTAATTTCAAGAAGTCGGTAAACGACAATGTCATAGTCGCGAATTTAGTACATAATGCTATAATTTTGATAGATCTGTCGATCAACATCACGTGTTATCTAACAGTCGTCCCCATTTGGATGCATTTTTTTCGTTATTTGAAGCACCACCCTGGCTTTTGCCGGGGGCCCTAAATATAGCTGGACCATAAATATGGCATAACGGCTGAAAGGAGTTTCCGTGACCTTTCCACGGGTAATCCTCATCCTAATGGTGGAACGTTGTGTAACCGGGTGTTTATCGCTCTGTGTGATGTCCTGGTGGGGTAAAATTTACTTACTTACTTACAACATCACTCCGGCCGCCTTTTATTCATCATGAGATTTGCCTGGTACCAATATTAGCCTGGATCTCCCTGGAACCATAATCGTCTTGTTCTCAAGAGCCCATATCTCTATACCAGAGACATTCGAGTTAGAGGCCAGCATCTTATCTTAAAGCCACACCCCCGACAAACATGAAATCTGGTGCATACAAGAAACGAAAAAGTTGTCTGTTTTAAAAGATAGTAGTGTACTAGAAGCAAAGCTTAAAGGGGAATATGTATTAAAGGAAGGGAAGAAATAATAATGTGGGATAATATGAAAATCTACTCCTTGAACCTATCTCTGCTCTAGATCTACGATAGCCCTACCGATATCGTGGCTAGTGGAAGTCAACCCACACTAAAGCTGCCTCAGTAACAAGAAACAAAAAGTTAAAAAGTTCGTAAGGCAAGGAACTAAGACCATATTATTTTAGCCCTGACAGGATATGTTCTTTATACAGTCTAGACAGCAGTAAAGTAAAACTAAGCACACTAACTACAAGTCATAATCTGAATCAAAACAATTGGAACTATAATTATCACATTCAACATCTGTTTATTTCACTGAACATAAGACTAAGTTTTCAACACATAATAATGCATTGAAAATCCACAACGTGTTTTTTACGTACCGTAACAACAGATGGAAACTTATCTCTGCCTTTACGTTGCACTAAAACCTCTTAACGCAGTGGGAAAATCAGAGCTACATGTCCCTTTTATCACATTCTGATCCTACGTTTGCCAGGTATTTTGTTCGCTTTAAGCCTAATTAAAATTAATATAACAGCTGCCCTGGGCCTGTTACAGTAGTAACAAAGAAAATGATTGGGTTTCAATGTGTAATAAAAGTCAGGCGTTATTTTGAGTCAATTGCATAAGTTTAATTGTCAGTGACAGAATGTAGTCTTGATGATGACTACAACAAAGTCAGATATGATATTCTGATACCTGCGCTCATGGAGAAAGATGTCTGTCTATGGCTGGTGAATTGGATAGCAGCTGTCCCGCGTTCACGTATAGTTGCCCTCCGTCTGGGTACATAGATCTCAGAACCATGTAATCGTCACGTGACTACCCCAGGGTTCTGTGGTTTCACAAGTGCTCTTTATTGTGTTTAAAAGCAAGAACTTGAACCACCAGGGTTAGAAGGAGGTTGACATTTGCAGATGACGTTCTTGCAAAAAGGCAAGGAAGGACAGCCCAACAGGCAACTGTAGACAAAGTAGCAAACAAGAAGTACCCCCTGTGAAGCCCTATGTAGAGCGAAGGGTCACAAACTGAAAAGAGAAAGGTCTTTATGGCGCAAGCTGAAAACGCAAATAAGACACACGTGCACGGTTGATAATAGTGACCTAGTAGATCAGTGTGTCATATTGTCCGAGCAACAGTCAAAACATGTGTAATTTCAATCATTTTGGGCCGTGAGTGCAGGGATGGGCCAACCGGCGCTGCAGAATGAGAGGTTCAACAAATGACGCATGATAATTCCCGCCTAGATGATTTCTGTTTCTACTTCTTCTTTGATCCTTCTGTCAGAAAACGTATATCAGGAGACCTGTATGTAGCCTTTACGAAAGCAATCGCGCTGTCCATATTCCCTTGTATACCATACAGTTTTGTCTTCATTGTGGTTGGAACAGGCCAGATTGCGTCTCTGTTTGTAGCATACAGTTAACAGTGTTAGAGAACATGCTCAGCATTTGTTGGTGCCCCGTTACAGGGACACGGCTCTGTGTTTGCTTCACCTTAAAGTTTTAAAATGTATTGCTCTCTTCTTAGTCTGACTATAATACATTGTCACTCTCTAGGAAGGCGATGTGGCGAGTCTTGGGGATATAATTTTGTGTTTTTATCCAGCCACCTTTCTTTGATACTATATTGAATTAATGTCTTAGTCTCGTGGTGGGTTAAGTCACTATTTGATTGTACCATGTTACTGCCACTTCTGACCAATCTGTCCGCTATTTCATTGCCTTCCCAGCCACAGTAACCTAGAATTCACTCAGTACAGATTGTTCTACTGAAGAGCCTACGTGAATCAGCTGTTTTGTCAAGTTTACAAACTCCAGATTATGTGATTATCTATACAGGCGGCTCTATGTTGAGAGGCAGGCGAAATGCATGAGGTTTCATAGCAAAATTTAACGGACGTCGCTTAATACAACACAGCCTTGCATAAATACCATAACATCTAGTTTAAGCGTAACAGTGAAGCCGTCACTGTAACTGACTCACAGAGCATGTTGTAAGATAGGTATGCTGCGTGCAGTGTGGCATCCTAAATCTTACTTACTATAGGAATATTGACCTAGCATTATATACCAAATGTAGGTGCAGTGGCGTAGTTGCTAAACGCTTGCCTGGCCGTGCAAGTCTTCAGTTCGAATCCTCACGGAAGCAAATTTTTTTCCTCTCAAAATTGACCTTGGCTTTCAGGTCGACTTAGCCTAAAATGGATAAAGGATAGTGTCCTGGTAAATCAATGTGTCGGGCGATGTTGACCTTATCATCCATGGAGTGCCGCTTGGTCTTTAAAAAAATATATTATTTTAGCACGACATGCCCATGCGCCTCTGGTCTAAAATAAGTACTTTATTTCATTGATTTAATTTTGCGTGTGGGTTCCAAGACTCATTATGGTGGGAGTGGGAGAAGGAAAGTAGACTCACTGTCCCCCTAACAAGCATGTCGTAAGAGTCAACTAATTAGGGATATTTCCTTTGAAGTCGGAGTGCATCTGCCTGAGAGGCGAGGGACCAACAGTCTGCATGTAAAGTAGCAAGATCTGTAAAATAGTTGTGCATGCAAAACTCAAGTTCTGGAACAAGACTAAAGTCCAGAAATGGGCGAACAAGCAAACCTTTCCATCAGTTTTTATAGGTGGTGAGGAGCGGCTAGCCGAACGGTTAGAGCGCTGGACTCTCAAGTGGGAGACCCGAATTCGAGTCCTCGGTAAGGCTATGGATTTTTTTCTGCCGGGGCCAAAATAAAATCCTTACCTGCACAGTCATGGCGACAGCACTAGCCATGCGGCTGTAAATCCTTAGGCTCAAAGACCCCCTCTTGACACCGCAAAAGAGGTATAATAAAGACAGTAACTGTCAGTTTATAGCTGCTGAGTGCGGACAAGAAGAAAACTGACATTCATCAGATGCTCTTTCGGGCAATTGGCGTAAAAATAAACCTTTGCTTGTTTTGTTGTTGCTTTTTTTTTAAACCCATCTTGGTTATTTCAGAGTAAGAAAACATTTCAGAGGTCTTGTTCAAAACAACCTTTCCACTTTCTCTTCCACCCCGGGCTGTATCTTCCAATAGATTTGTGTTGCTTTTTAAACAGCATTCACCCCAGCGTCTACATTTCTGTACATTCCATTGTCGGCGTTATTGCTTTAATCTTTATGTTTTTGTGTAATCTGCTTGATGTTTGAGGCATTATTTCCACTTCAGCAGCGTATTTCGAGCTCTCTTTTATCTCTGTTCCCTCATTTTTTGTGTGGACTTTACATAGGACATGACTGCCTTTCGAGCTACGTTCCCTCCCTCCCTCCCTCCCTCTCTCTCTCTCTCTCTCTCTCTCTCTCTCTTCGTCTTTCTTTTTTTACACGTCCATAATTTAATCACTTTGAATACTGACCATTTTAGTATTGGATTCTTGATCCACTCTGTAGCTGTTTGAACTTGACAGAGAAATCTTGTGAAATCCCTCAAATGCGCTTTTGTTACAAAATCCCTTTATCTCAGAATCGACTTTTATAAAGTTTTTTTTTTTTAAACAGCTACATGTCTTTTTCAGGAAGTGGCAACCAAACCTGGCGTTTGGTGGCTGTTGTGTAGTTTAATTAGGCAGTTTTCCTTTCAGTAGTTTGTCATTGCTTTCTTAACGGTACAACGCTTGTACAGTTGTCGAACTCAACGCCGAGCGGCCTGCTCCTAATTTGCCTTCTACATGCCCCGGTATGCCAGGAATTTGAAACTGCTATAGATGTAGACAACGATACAAACGGGAGGATAGTTTCATGAGATGGATGAACAGCAGTCTCGGAAAGCGTAAAACCAGGATTGGGAGGGAAAGAGAGGGAGAGAGAATGTTTATAGATCCACTATGGCCAATAAATCAATTGCAGATAAACTTCTTTGTTGTGATGGTGCATCTGATTAACTGATGTCTCATGTGTTTTAATCAGGCTGCAACTGGTAATCGAAGAAAAGAAAAAGGAGAGGGAGAAGAAGAAGAAGAAGAAGAAGAAGAAGAAGAAGAAGAAGAAGAAGAAAAAGAAAAAAAGAAGAAGAAGAAGAAGAAGAAGAAGAAGAAGAAGAAGATGACAACGATGATGATGATGATGACAATGGTGATGAATGCAGTTATTTTTCATGAAAACTTTTTATATTTTTTCTTTTAGCTGCATTTTTGAAAAATAATTAAATCTGAATGCCATTTCAATTTCTCTTTTCCCCTGCCACAGAACAAAAAGCAGAAGAGGATTTCGTAAAGGGAAACTAACCGCCTTCAGCAATAGCGTCAGTCAAGTTGACAGAGCATCTAGAGTTCTCTTTCCCTTAACTTTCACAATTCTAAATGTGGTTTATTGCGTTGCTTACTATTTATGGGCCTTTTCGGAGCAGTAGCTATAGTATTAAAACAGAAGGTACTGATTTGCATTTGCAGAAAACAGAAGTGTTCTTTTCTGTTATTCCACCACATCACATCAGCTTTGAGATCTTGTAGGGAAATCTCCAGACCGTCTCATTGTATAGGGGAGTTAGAGCTAGTGTTAAATGAATAGTGACTACTACTAAGCCAAACCCCCTCCCCCTCTCACATATAAAGGGAGGGTCTGGGGCCCTACCAAATCTCGAAGCCGGCGTGATGTGATGAAATAACAGAAAAGAACCAACAGAAGACACAACAAGTGACACTGCTGCAGTTTGCAAATCAACAGACTCTATGTTTCAACCTTTCAGTCCAAAGAACTGGCTTGAGTTTCCCCATTTTGGGAAAACAAAGAGAACGGCCATCGCCCCATTAAAAAGCATGTCGTAAAAAGTGAATTGATTATTGGTTTGTCAAAATTGGAAGGGTGAATGCAAAATTAGGTGTTCATTTGAACTTGGATTTTGAAAATGGCTTTTATCTAAAAGAGTCACGCTGGTTTAGAAACTGTCCTCTGAACTTGGTACTAAAATTTCAGGGGGACTGCTGAAATGCACTCTTTTCCTCTCCCAGCTATGTAGCTAGAGAGATTTCTCATACCCCAATATATATATATATATATATATATATATATATATATATATATATATATATATATATATACATATATATATATATATATATATATATATATATATATATATATATACATATATACTGTCTGTCTGTCTGTGTGTGCCTGCTTGGGTGCCTGCGTGTGTGTGAGTGAGTGTGTGTATGTATGTATGTATGTATGTATGTATGTATGTATCTATGTATGTATGTATGTATGGATGGACGGACGGACGGACGTACGTAGGTAGATAGGTAGGTATGTATGTATGTATGTATGTACATACATACGTACGTATGTTATTATATATGTTTATATATATATATGTTACAAACAAAGAGGTTCTCCATAAAATAATACAGCACATTGGCAACTACGAACCTCTTTTAACTACAGTTAAAAGGTGAAAAATGCAATGGTATGGACATGTAATAAGATCTAACGGCCTCTCAAAAACGATACTGCAGGGCTCAGTAGAGGGAAAGAGGAAAAGAGGCAGACCAAGAAAGAATTGGCTACAGAATGTGACTGACTGGACAGGCCTCAAGCTTGCAACCATAAAGTCCATCGCAACAGACCGCCAAAGGTGGAGAGAGCTGATCAGACAGTCAACAGAAACTGGTGACCCAACGACCCGTAGTGTTACAGAATGATGATCATCATCATCATCATCATATATATATATATATATATATATATATATAAAATGTGTGTGTGTACCGTAGAAGAGACTGGAGCTCTTCAACCTAATGCTCCCAAAGACTATACAGTGGATATCATACCCACTAAGGCTAACCTCTACAAAATGGCACACAATTCTTTTTGTTTAACTCACTGTTTAATTTTATTATTTATTTTGGTGTAAATTCCTACAAAACTTTTTGTTTGTGCAACAAGAGAACAAAATTTCAAATAAAACCTTACAGCATGCAAGTGACAAACATTCCTGAATTTAATATTCCAAATTTAAAACAAGGTAATTTTGTTTTAAAGTCCGCTCCGTCAGTCAGGACTAGAACCCACGACCTTCGGATCCACAGGCGAGCGGCTCGCCACTACCCCTTGGCGGTTCAAGATAAAGATGGTGATACATTGGGCACATCTAGAAGAGAAGCTGACCAAGAATCACTCATTAGCAATTTAAACGGGAAAACAGAGGCACTGAAGAAGCAAGGACGTCCAACAAAAGCCCTAAGAAGGTAACTAACAAACACCCAAGAACAACAACAAATTCAAATAACAGTGCAGTGAATACAGGAAATCTACTTCCTCATCAATCATTCTAAAATATTTTTTCATTACATTGTGGCTGTTTATGATAAAGCTGTGATATTTGTGCTTTCTTGCAAACATATTAAACTTCAGCGTGATATTTCTCTCTTCAAGGCTTACTGTAAATATTCTGCTCTAGGTAACTTCTTACACTATGTAAAGTTGCAGATTTTTTCAGTCAGGGGCAAAAACAAAATCCTTATATATACAGGCAATGCCGACAGCACTAGCCATGTGGCCCTAAATCCTCAAACTCAAAGAGCTCCCTCCCCCTCTTTTCCCCGTCTACACTGCAAAATTAGAAAATACTGATAGTAATGGTCAATTTTTTGGGGGTAAGTAGCTTCTCTAGTTTTCCTTTTGTTGTCACAGGTTTGAAATCTAAAAAGTTAAGTTCAGTTAGTTGGGTATCTTTTACAAGACATTGCAGAACCAACCCCAGCATTTTTTGGCTGTTGTGGTTTTTCTTGGCCAGTAGTTTGCCATTGCTTTCTGGACGGTCATCCAATGTTCTGGTCAACAATCTACACTCTGGGGAAAGCCAAGACTGACAATATAATGGAACTGCTACTGGCAGCATGGAAATGGAACTCTTTGCTGGCTGCTGAAGATGAGGATGGAGCACTTATTGGAATGTCACGAGTGTGGTTACATCAGTTCTGAGCTCAACACTCAATGGGATAAAGAGATCTTTATTTACCGTACACATGCCATCTTGGTCAATCAACACAATACTTGATTGGTGATATAAGGTCATAAAGAGCTCTCATCATTGAGATAAATTTAAACCTTTAACAACCAAGATGGAAATGCACAAGCCATTGTGCCACAGCTAAATATCATAAATAATATGCACAGAAATGCGTAGACAATTTAAATTCTTTCTTTTCATTAAATAAAATGTGATGTGTGGAAACACACTTCCATTTTGAAAGTGCTCTTCTGGGATACATGTCTGGGGTTAAATATCTAGGGCTCTTGTCTTAGACTAATGTCTGGGACAGTGTCTTGTACTAATGTCTGGGACAGCGTTTTGGACTAATGTCTGGGACAGTGTCTTGTATTAATGTCTGGGACAGAGTCTTGGGCTAATGTCTGGGACAGTGTCTTAGACTAATGTCTGGGAAAGTGTCTTGTACTAATGTCTGGGACAGTGTCTTAGACTAATGTCTGGGACAGTGTCTTGTACTAATGTCTGGGACAGTGTCTTCGACTAATGTCTGGGACAGTGTCTTGGACTAATGTCTGGGACAGAGTCTTGGGCTAATGTCTGGGACAGTGTCTTAGACTAATGTCTGGGACAGTGTCTTGTACTAATGTCTGGGACAGAGTCTTGGGCTAATGTCTGGGACAGTGTTTTGGACTAATGTCTAGGACAGTGTCTTGCACTAATGTCTGGAACAGTGTCTTGGACTAATGTCTGGGACAGTGTCTTGGACTAATGTCTGGGACAGTGTCTTGGACTAGTGTCTGGGACAGTGTCTTGGACTTATGACTGGGACAGTGTCTTTGACCAATGCCTGGGACAGTGTCTTGGACTAATGTCTGGGACAGTGTCTTGGACTTATGTCTGGGACAGTGTCTTGGACGTATGTCTGGGACAGTGTCTTGGACTAATGTCTGGGACAGTGTCTTGGACTAATGTCTGGGACAGTGTTTTCTGGGACAGTGTCTTGGACTAAAGTCTGGGACAGTGTCTTGGACTAATTTCTGAACTAATGTCTGGGACAGTGTCTTGGACTAATGTGTGGGACAGTGTTTTGGACTAATGTCTGGGACAGTGTCTTGGACTAATGTCTGGGACAGTGTCTTGGACTAATGTCTTGGACAGCATTTTGGACTAAAGTCTGGGACAGTGTCTTGGACTAATGTCTGGGACAGTGTCTTGGACTAATGTCTGGGACAGTGTTTTGGACTAATGTCTGGACTAATGTCTGGGACAGTGTCTTGGACTAATGTCTGGACTAATGTCTGGGACAGTGTCTTGGACTAATGTCTGGGACAGTGTCTTGGACTAATGTCTTGGACAGCATTTTGGACTAAAGTCTGGGACAGTGTCTTGGACTAATGTCTGGGACAGTGTCTTGGACTAATGTCTGGGACAGTGTTTTGGACTAATGTCTGGGACAGTGTCTTGCACTAATGTCTGGACTAATGTCTGGGACAGTGTCTTGGACTAATGTCTGGGACAGTGTCTTGGACAGCATTTAGGACTAAAGTCTGGGACAGTGTCTTGGACTAATGTGTGGGACAGTGTCTTGGACTGATGTCTGGGACAGTGTTTTGGACTAAAGTCTGGACTAATGTCTGGGACAGTGTCTTGGACTAATGTCTGGGACAGTGTCTTGGACTAAAGTCTGGACTAATGTCTGGGACAGTGTCTTGGACTAATGTCTGGACTAATGTCTGGGACAGTGTCTTGGACTAATGTCTGGACTAATGTCTGGGACAGTGTCTTGGACTAATGTCTGGACTAATGTCTGGGACAGTGTCTTGGACTAAAGTCTGGACTAATGTCTGGGACAGTGTCTTGGACTAATGTCTGGACTAATGTCTGGGACAGTGTCTTGGACTAATGTCTAGGACAGTGTCTTGGACTAATGTCTGGGACAGTGTCTTGGACTAATGTCTTGGACAGCATTTTGGACTAAAGTCTGGGACAGTGTCTTGGACTAATGTCTTGGACAGCATTTTGGACTAAAGTCTGGGACAGTGTCTTGGACTAATGTCTGGGACAGTGTCTTGGACTAATGTCTTGGACAGCATTTTGGACTAAAGTCTGGGACAGTGTCTTGGACTAATGTCTAGGACAGTGTCTAGGACTAATGTCTGGGACAGTGTCTTGGACTAATGTCTTGGACAGCATTTTGGACTAAAGTCTGGGACAGTGTCTTGGACTAATGTCTTGGACAGCATTTTGGACTAAAGTCTGGGACAGTGTCTTGGACTAATGTCTTGGACAGCATTTTGGACTAAAGTCTGGGACAGTGTCTTGGACTAATGTCTTGGACAGCATTTTGGACTAAAGTCTGGGACAGTGTTTTGGACTAAAGTCTGGAACAGTGTTTTGGACTAAAGTCTGGAACAGAG